ACGTAAACATTGCGCCCATATTTGCCGACTTGAAGCCCAAACTACCGGCAAATGTTGAGCCTTTCACCCGATTTAAGCTCAACAGCTCAGCCATCTCTGAACTGCCGGCCAATGTGTTCAGTGGCGTTCCCTTCGCTAAAATGCATATCCAAAACGCTTACGCCTTAAAGCGTGTCCACAGACTGGCCTTCAACGGCACCGAACGCACCGTTCAAGTCATTAATTTTTCCAACAGTCCGGTCAGTGAAGTGGTTGTCGGCGATTGGGATCTCTTCGGTGCCATTCGTTTGGTCAATGGTTTGCGAGATCTCGTGATGTCGACCACTGCCCTGACATCCCTGCCCTCTATGGCTATATCTAATTTGCCCAAATTGAGCACGGTGGAAATACTGTACCACCGCATACAACCCGTGGCCACCAACGCGTTCCACAATCTACCGTCGCTACAGTCGATTGCCATCCGATACGGTCGACTCGAGTTTAGAGAACACGCGTTTACTGTGGGTCGCAGTCCTAATAGCCGTCCGCTGCAAATCCTATTTCCCGACGAATCCCTGTCCGACAACTCGTTCACTAAAGCGGTGTTCGACGGTATCGGACGTCCGGCCACTATATCTCTGGACGCAAACTCTGTCAGCCATTTGGATAAAACAGTTTTCAACAGCTTTTTGGCCGAAAACTCATTTAATACAGTCTACGACCGGACCTTCAATTGCAGCGACACTCAAAATAATTGGGTCAGCGATAAGTATCACAAAGTTTGGTACGATTTGAATTGTCCCGCAAAACATAATTGCTTGTTGTCTACAGTATTAGATGATGTGGCACATATGTTGTCCCGTTGAATATGTATAATTAAGATTTTAAAATAAATATTTTCTAGCATTCACTTTATTGTTTATTTTTAAATATATATTCTAAATATTTATAAATTTAACAAAGTAACAATTAAGTATATAAGTATTTCATATAAGAATTAAAAATTGCCTATTATAATAAATATATATTATATTTTATAATTTATAAGAATACATTTAAATATGTGTGGTAAACTATAAAATTCAACTTATAACACCTTATCACAATCAAACATTTGATAAATAAAGTTGACTTATTAACGAATTAAATATTGAAAATTAATGTTGTTTTAACATTTCTTCAATTATTTATATTGCAAATATTAAACAATACAATTGTATTATGACATTTTATCCGAGATAAAACACTTTTTATTTAATAATTTTTGGTGATTATTAATGGCACTACAAGTACCTTAGGACGCTTGGTTTTCAAGTAAGCCAAAATAATTTTTTTCTCTCTCTCTCTCGCAAACTAAATAACATGTAAGATTTAGTGGGATAATATTTCTTTTACCGACATCACCGGCACTAACGGCACTTGTGCGGCACCGTCATTAAGTGCCGTAAATTTAAGCGGCACCGGCACTCAAAATTTACAATTTTTCAATTACTATTTTGGGTAATGCTCAAAAAATAGATTAGCATTATCTGCATATTTAATATAAGTATTCGTCATTTATATACAAAGTTATTTGTTAGCATTACTTATCTTTATCGTAGAATTATCATTGTCCATAAGATTAGCATTCATTGCATAGACTAAATTTCTAAATTGTCGCGAAGTCGGATGGTTTATTCCCGAATAATCTCTGCTCTGGTTATAACTTATATTTGAGATATTATTGTAAAAGAATATTAATTTACAAATGAATTGAAATTGAACAATTAATATTTTTATTAAAACAATGAAATATTGTATAATAATTTAATACATTTATTAATTTTATTTTATAATATTAGTGACTATATTCATGAAATTTAAAATATTATTTATGTATCATATTACATTATGTATATACATTATATTCTGTATATTATATTTTTGTAATTTAATATTTTTCTCATTCAAGATATAAAATTAAGTCAAATTAATTTAACTTATTCTGTGACTTACTGTACAATAAAGTAATTGTTGACTATATACTGTTGTAAAAATGAATTCATTTAATATTAAATTCATTGGACTTATTATATGTAAGTAAAACTAATAATGATTTAATTAATGTTTGCATTGAAATGTGTATCAATAGCAGCGTTAAGTGTGTGTATTGTTGGCTATAATGGAAATCACGCGAGAATTCAGAGCTACGAGAATATAACGACTGCCGGCTGTGGAGTCGGGAGGAGAGGGAGTCTTATGGACAACAAGTGCTTCACTTATCATCCAAACAGTAATACAATGTTTGCCGGCATTCAAAACGGACGGGTAGTCCAGAAGGGAGAGCAGCCGTGGGCTGTGTTTATCACAGATTTAAAAAATGGACAGTAAGTTATGCAATCTTTTATATAATATTGATTTTACTTTTTAAAATAATCGTCAGGTTAATATTAATTACTGATGGCAAACCTCCCCCGAAACGACTTAATTCTCCTCGAAAGGACATAACCTCATACCTCCCTTTTATTAGTTATGCCCTTTATATTATTCATACGTGTATTAAAGTACAGATAAAGATTTATACTTTACATTATAAATCACGAATAGAAAGGATGTAAGTAATGGCGAAGGACTGGAAGGAAGGGGGGAGCGAATGATCCTATAAACCACATAATTCATATTGAATTGTGGTTAAAAACTCATTTTTGGAAAAAAAAACTATTCAATTAATCGATAATTCTCTCTCTCTCTCTCTCTCTCTCTCTCTCTCTCTCTCTCGGGTAAAGTAGTTAAATGAAATTGAATTTCATTAAACAACTAGAAATGGTACATTTTGTAAATGTAAGTTTAATAAAGTATATATTTTCATATTAAATAAATTAATATTCTATTACAAAATTGTGATCATATGAAGAATGAAATTTTATTGCAAAAATAATAATCTCTCTCTCTCTCTCTCTCTCTCTCAGTTTTACTACATTCAGTGGTGTAATATTAAATGAGCGATGGATTCTAACGTGTGCTCACGGATTATAGTATGTAATCGTGTGTTCATCACTTATTAATAATTGTATATTTAAATAACAATATAAAGTTATTAATAAACATATATTACAATAATATCCCAGTTGTGGCGCAAATTGTGCGGTGACTGACATTCGTGTATATCCGGGTCTAACGAACCAAAGCTTTACGAGCCATCCATACTATACGGGCGGTCAGTATTTCATTACATCCGAGTTTGAGACCAATCAATTGAAGACTTATGACTTGGCATTAATCCGACTCAACACTACTATACCATTGGACGGTACGTCCGGTTCGTCGGGTATTAACTCGATTTGTTTGCCCGAAGAGATGGCCGTCAATGAGGCGGAAGAATACGTGCAATTGGTTGGGTTCGGGAACGACAACGATAACGGGACGGGAGCGGGAATACAGCGAATTGGTTTTGCTAAACTTATGAAAGCCGTTGCGGACAACACTTATGGCCAAAACTACGGTTTCGCTGCACAACGCATACCATTCCCGTCGGGTTCGGGTATTTGTACTGTACGTCTATTCACTTGTATTATTATTATTATTATTATATTTTAAGGCTATTATAACTGGTGTATACTTATTAATTTTTTAAATGTGGATCAAATATTTACACAATAATTTAATATATCAATTAATAATTAAAGTTATACATGCTTAAAATTATTTCAATTTAAAATATGTAACTTTATAGTTTTTATTCTCTGTATAGACATTATTAGACATAGCATATTGTGTTTAAAATAAAAAATAGAACATTAAAAAAATCTAATTAAATCATTATTTGTTTTAATATTAAATGTTGACCAGGGTGATTCCGGCTCACCAATAGTACAGTATGCAAACGGAGTGGCAGTGGTTATTGGTATTGTAGTAAATGCGGACCGAACTGACGCAATTAATTGTCTGGATTTTATTGAAGGGGCCGAGATAACTGGGGTTCGAGTGTCGCATCACATCCAATGGATAATTAATACTATATTTAATAACACTAATTAAGATACAATTTCAAAATATGAATTATCAAAAATTTTAAATAAACTTTTATTATCAAGATTATTTTATATTTAACACTAGTATTGTTAATGAAATTTTTAATATGTAACAAAAAATAATAATTAATATTGATACAATAAATTTTTAAAACATATTAGTAAAAATAATATTAATTTTCAATAATTATTATAAAATACAGAATTGTTATCATTGCTAGTATAAAAATGTTTCAAATAATGTTCCCGTTTTGTCCACAACAATATAATGACAACAAATATCAAACCAATTATTAGCAAAAAGCATATAATTTCCAACGAGGAAAATGAAATTTTTGAGTCCGATTCTCGCAAACCGTCGGAACCGGTAGTCGTTTGAATGGATAGATTGGCTGCAATTGTTGTGCTTTGTGTTGTAGGCGTACTCGTTGTTGATGGCAGACTGAGTGTAGTAATAGTAGACATGTTATTATCCACCGGTGGTTTATCTGTTAAATTGGTTACTTCAGTGTAGGTCTCTAAGCCAAACGAACCTCGATATAAGCCATTTTGGTTTACGACAATTGAGTGATTTTTAACAGCAATGTTGTGTTTGTGACCGTATTTGCTGATCAATACGTAAAGTGTCCGACCATTCAGTGGTATATCTGATCGACTAAATCGTGGATCAATGCCCGTAAACGAGCGAATGGCCCGAAACCGCAATTCCATGTTTTTTACTGTCTTTATGTATCCCTTAAGCGAAACACTAGTAAATGGTTTCACTTGTATTGTGGACTTTATTGTAAACGACTTTTGTTGGGAAACACTATAAGTCCTTCCTGTAGTGAAAAGTGATTTAAAGCCGGCCATAACGTCGGCCTCCCTATCGACGCCCACTTCAGTTTTGATGAGTCCAAACAAGGATAAGCTAACGCTTGGTTTAACCCTTGTTTTTATGTGAGTTATGTTCAAACTTTCAAAACTGTTATCAATACTAATCTCAGTCTCATCTGTAGTTTCAACGGTCTTTTCGATGGTTTCACTTAAAATAGTGTTCGCATTGTTTTTGATTATTTTTGCTAAAATCAAATCCGTTTTCAATGACTTTTCCAACGCCTGTTATGTTTGCATTCAAAACAAATATTAGTTTATTAAATAAAAACAATTGGTATAATTTTATACTAACATTGTTTGTTGTAAGTAATTCTAATTGGTCCAAGGTGCTTACGAGTTGATATTCTTCGATAACTACCATGGTAATTCTTAGTTTAACATACTTCACTAGATTAAATATACAACAAAATAAAATATAATTAATAGAAATAGTGATCACCATGGTGCAATCGCAATTTACCATTAAACACGTTCACATTGGCTTCCATAATAAAATCATCGTTAGGATTATTATTATTATTCAATTTATATCCCGATGTAAATAAAATGGGAACTTTTGATCCCATTTTATCAATAATATGCGCCTGTTTTGTGTAATAGTCAGATTGCATAAAACTCACCATGCTCCATTCGGCAGACATTTCGGACCCATTTGTTATTAACTGAGTGTCAATCAATCCAAAGAACGAAAGTTTAATTTTTCCGAAATTAATGTTTTCGTTATTAAATTTTATATTATATAAAAGATGTTGGTATAAACCCGTTGCCGTTCCGTTTGTATAATGGATTTCATAGTTAGTGATGTCAACCATAGCTAGTGATGCTGTTATATTTACTAGCATATAAATAACTATTACAATTAACTTAGAATACATATTTGATAGATTGTTAACAAAAATTAAAGCAATTATATAATAATTATTTGTGATTTATATGATTTTATTTAATCGCAGAATTGCTATGAATTTGAAAACATATTATTATATATTTGTTCAAAACATTGTTTAAATATTTTTGTGAGAATTCATTTTATAAGAAATTATTTTTCGTTTTATTTGAATTACAATTTATTATATAAATAATGGTATTTAATTTTAAAAAGCATTTCCAAATAATTTTACTCATAAAAAAGTATTTAAATAATTATTTAAAATAAATATTTGTGTAAGCATTCATTTAGTGTGAAAATTTACTCTGTTATATTTTATTTATTAATCATTTGAAAGTTATTTAAATTAATTATTTTAAATAATTGTAAATACATTTATAAAATAGCGAATACTGTTTTGAATGTGTAATAAAAATAATATATTTATATTAATATTTGAGACGAGAGAGAGAGAGAGAGAGAGATCATGGTAATTTAATTTTACATGAAATAATTTTAATCCCAAACGCGCCACACTATATGTTATCCACAATTCTGGTATTGCGAAAAAAAATAAAATTTTCAATGTTATAATCATTTCTTAGGATTGTCATTATCTATAGCATCGATGAGCTGAGGGGGAATTCTACGGGGAAATGTGATTATATTGAGTGCAACTATAAGGGTGTTGAAAATTAACCGGTTGTGTTTCTTGGTCGATTCCTCTGGAACTGTTGGAGTGACAATATTGAAACTTCACACATATATAGATCCACGTCGGGCAATTTTTTGACATAAAAAAATTTTATGATCACGTGACTTTTTATGTGAGAAAATGGGTGATTTGCGAGACCCATAGTTTGTGGCTACCGTGTTTGTTGTAGGGAGGGGTGGGGGTTAGGGTTGCATAGAGCTAATGTTGAAGTGTTATAATAACCAAGAACCACCATTATTGGATTGCACGTTTTTACATGGCAAGTGAACAAAGTAGGCCAATTTCCCCATGTTAACCTATAAGGACGACAAATAATTTCATATTTTAATATAATTAATTGTATTTTTAAAAACTTCATTCAATGCTGATAATGATAGTAAAAAATATTTTTGAAAAATTTCATTCCAAAGATAAAATATCTTACATTGAAATATTGAAAATATGGAGAATTTTTGTGTTTTTATGGCTAAAACTGATTTTTTCAATTTTAGATATTTTATCTTTGAAATGAAATTTTTCAAAAAAAATTTTTACTATCATTATCAGCAACAAACACGGTAGCCACAAACTATGGGTCTCGCAAATCACCCATTTTCTCACATAAAAAGTCACGTGATCATAAAATTTTTTCATGTCAAAAAATTGCCCGACGTGGATCTATATATGTGTGAAGTTTCAATATTGTCACTCCAACAGTTCCAGAGGAATCGACCAAGAAACACAACCGGTTAATTTTGAACACCCTTATATTCATACATAGTGTTATAGTCATAGAAAGAAAAAGGTGAATAATATGAGTATGCATTCAATTCAAGGCACAATATTTAGTCAAACATTATAACGTTTATAATGATTAGCTCAAAATATTTTTTATGGGAAAAACGTATTTGAGCTCATCGATGATCTATAGGATTATAAATCCCCATGTTTAGTTTAATTACCCATGTTTAGTTTTTGCCGTAGATTAACATGCAATCCCATATTAAACACCATAGGTTGGGAAATTAGGGAGTGGTGGCTTCGAAAACTTTGTTTAACATAATTATATAATCAAAATTCTTTGAAAATTAATATAGTTATACAATTGTAAACATACTACGATTTTTAATTAATTTAACTTTGAAATCTGAAATTCAAATTAAATGCTTTGTATCACATGAAAATACTAAATAAACATAAAATACAACATATTTTCCCACAAATAAATGCTCACAAATGAAATATTTAAACAATTTTAGTATTTTGGTATAAATAGATTTGAATTTATAAAAAATATGTTATAAAACTTTATATAATTTTAAACAATAGTTTTTAATATTTAATATTCAATTGTTTTAAAATTTTATAAACATGTATTTTCAATCGATTGTGTCAGCTCTTTATTTAATTATAAACGTTATGTCATCAGTAAATATGCAAAACATAACAGATTTTGAAATACAAAATCTTAATGATATGGGAACCGGAATATACGAACACCTATTATATAATATCAGAGGAATAGCATCAGGTAACTGGACTGGTAGCGCAAACATGGTCACTTTTCAACTCATTGATAATCACAAGATTTGGTTTGATATTATTACAATAAATGGTGATAAAATTTTATGGGGATGTTTCTTAGATTATAAATTCAACAAAAACAAAAACGCTTATACAATGAAGGATTTGACAAATAATAGTTGTAAGTAATCACAATATATTAATAAATCTAGTTGTTTAACAAGGATTGCACGATAATACTTATTAGTTGGCGTGATGTTTAAAAATAATTTGTCAATATTGTGGTATTTGTATCTTAATATAATATAAATTCTAAAATTTCATATAAAATAACTACATTTTAAAAACAAATTTTTAGTTATATAAACGTTAGTAAATTGATTTAGTTATTGAATTGATACAAATACAACTGAGCGAGTTTAAACTCTATCTAAATGTTGCATCGCACAAATTAAAAACAAGTCATGCAAACCTTGTTTATTATTTTTCTAAATTCAATAGTTTCTTGACAAAATGTCGTATATTTATTATATTAGATAAACTGGTACATTTAGAAATTAATGAAATATCATATGATAGATATGATATTAAAACTATGCTGGACGAATTTATCGCAATTCCATCAAGCAAGGTTTGTGATTCAATGTTTAAATCATGTTAAAAAAGTAAAGTAAGACATAGATATTTTAAATACAGGAGCCGTTGAAAATTGCAGTGAAAAAGAGTGCGAAAACAGATATGATTTTGACAAAGATTATTGAAAATAATGCCAACACTATTACGACCGAAACAATTGAACAATCATTTGAAACGACTGTTAATAATGAGATTTCATTTCAAAAGTGTTTTGAATCGTTCAAT